TTGAAGTGACACTTGGAGTTTGTCCTTCTTCCACTTTCTCTCAGCTGATCTGCAAGCCCGTCTGAGAGAGCGGGTATTTTCATTCAGCCAAGGTTCTTTTAGAGGTTTTATGCGTTTCTCCCTCAGTGGGGCAACAGAGTTAAGTATCTCAGTACAAGTAGAGTCAAAGATGCTGACGAGTTCCTACACATTAAGAAAATCACCAAGATTGTAAAGCACTGAGTTTTTAAAAGCAGCAGAAAACTGTGAGGCAGTTTGAGGGTTAATTGCACGGACACAGCACGCAGGGGAAACAGACAAAGTGTCCGAGCAGGGGACAACCATAGTAAATACAACGGGTAGGTGATCTGAAATGCATGTGTCGCATATTTCACTAATGGCAACATCTAAGCCATATGACAGTACAAGGTCCAACGTATGTCCTTTTTCGTGAGTCGGGCCAGTAACAGACTGCGTGAGACTGAAAGAGTCAATAAGATCGAGAAAAGTTTGATCCTCACTGGCTGGAGGCGCGGCACGATCCAGCGGGCGCAAGTTAGAAAAATCCACACCACCTTGTCGGAACCGAGCGTACCTGGGAGAAGCCAAGTGCTGGCTCGGTCCGTGGTGCCGTCAGGAGAAGGTGGGCCTCAGAGATAACCTGTGGGCCAGGGACAATGGGACGAAGCCAGCGGTCTCTCATCCCCAGCAAGCGCCCGGCAGCAGGAACGTAGCATCCATCAGGGCACGTCACAGAGGTGAGCGCCAAGTAAGTCTTGAATCTGACCAGCACACCTCCGCGCTTTCCCCGTCGACTGTAGCGTTTCTTACGGGAAAGGGCAGCATGTGAGCGGCGCAGGTGCTCAGGTATATCCGACAGCAGAGGAGGAATCCTCGAGGTCGAGTGATCTCCCAAAACATGTCTTTCAGACAATGAGTCAGCAGCTAGTCGAATGTTGATAAGTGCATGGCGATCATAAACTAGTAAAGCAGAGACATCTTGACTGAATGAACAGATAAATAGAGCGATAGCAAACAATAGACTAAGCACACGAAACGGAGACAGACGGCTTGCCATGTACACTAGCGCCATCTTGGTTCTCTGACTCATTAGGACTATCAGTATGAAGCCACAGATGGAGCCCCTGCTATGATAGGGATAGAGAAAGGAGCTGTAGCAAGACTGAAAGAGGACAATCCAGAGCTCATAGCTTACCATTGCATCATTCACCAATCTGTCCTCTGTGCCTTCCTGTCAGATGAGCATGCTGAAGTGATGAATACAATGATGAAAATGATCAATTTTCTCAGGGCATCCTCTTCCACCCAGCATCGCATGCTGAGGGAATTCCTCAGAGAAGTTGATGCCAATGCTGATGATCTTTTGCTGCACAATAATGTGAGACGGCTCAGCAAAGGGAAGGTCTTAGCGCGCTTTTGGTCCATCAGCAGGGAAGTAGCATCTTTTTTGGCAGAGCTAAGACATCAGAAGGCAACGCAGTTTTCACTCTTTTTAAGAAATGAGAAACAGATGGATAATGTGGCCTTTTTGGTTGATATCACTACACATCTGAATGAACTGAATTTGAGGCTACAGGGCAAGGACAATTCAATTTGTGAACTGATGACCGCTGTCCGCTCCTTTCAAAAGAAACTTGAGTTGTTCAAGGAAGACCTGCAGGGAGACTGTGCACACTTCCCAGCAGTGCAGTGATAATCAAAAGTTATTTTCATGGGCTTAGTTGGGGGTTCGCTGTCTTGTCTTGATTTAAGAGTTAGGTAAGGAGCAGGCAGACACGAGTCTGACAGGATGGGGAGTCAGTTTATGTCCTGGCTGAGGAATGTAAGGTCTGCGGGTCAACTAGAAGATTTACCAGCCAAAGGGGGGTTAGAGACACACCAACACTATTCAACATACACACTCTGTTTACGATGTTTACGTTAAGTCAGGAGTCTGGACATTGGATGTGACCGGATCTTAGATGCGGGAGGTGGAAGGTCCTCCTCTACGCCAGTTTAGGGCCAATAGAAATCTTTCCTTCTCTGTCTTTCAAGGGTTATAAAACATGATGTTCCTGCTGATGTTAGTTAGTTGTTCTTCCGGCCTGTGTGCTGCCTGAACTGGTCCTGCCTTTGCAAACGCAGCGCTGATACTTGACCTGTGATCTGACAAATAAATTTCCCAGAACGAGAGAAGTCATTCGGCTGAATTTTTGATAACCCCGACCAGGCTCCAAATCTTGAACACGTATTCTTACAGCAGGAACAGGTACAGGGACAGAGAGATGTGTCTTCTTTTGTTGACTTCATTGATAAGCTGATCGTAAACTTCAGCAACCGTTTTGACAGCTTCAGCTTTGGACAGCAGCTCACCATGTTCATTCAGAACCCATTTATCGTCACGGATGTCAGGGGGTTCTCAGAGGAAGTCACACAGCACTTTAAATGGGTAAATCCTGGGCCTCTCCAGATGCAACTGGTTGATATCCAAGCAGATGTGTCCCTGAGAGAGCAGTTTCTAAGAACTGACCCTTCCACTTTCTGGCTCCAAACGGTCCCTGAGACAGCTTTTCCAGGTCTGAGGAAAGTTGCCATATACATCTTGACCATGTTTGGCTCCACCTACAACTGCAAGGCAGCTTTCTCCACGATGAATATCATCAAAAATAAATATTGTTCGAGGCTCACCAATGAGCACCTCCACATGTGCATGCGGATGGCCCTGACTCCATTCAAGCCCAGGTTTAAAGTCCTGGCAGGACAAGCTAGAGCTCAATTCTCCCACTGACCAACAAAGTGGGGAAGTGGGATGCAAGACTAATGCTCTAAAACTGTTAAATTGTTAAGATGTGTTAAGATTTATTATCTGTAAAATCGTTTGAGACTGAAAGAGAAACGGGGACATTTAAGCTCTTCCTCCCTTTATTTATTTTTTCTGAAGTTAAGCACTTTATTTGATTATTATTATTTATTATTACATGCACCATTTTCATTTAGCATTTATTTTATTTTAAAAATGCAGCCCTACTTTTATTTAGTTCATGAGAGAGCATTATACATATCTGCAGTCACACATAAGTCCAGTTCTATGTTACATGATAATAAATATTGTTAAAAAGTGTTTTAATCGTACCGAATTCCTTTGATTTGAAAGGTATTGATTATATGCAGATGTTTATACAACTACCAGGCTACTTAAATATATATCACACTAAATAGTTAGACATTATGATCTTCTGGACCTTTGCTTCAAGAAAATTTCTCTAACTGGACCTCTTAACATTTTAGTTGAATACCCCTGTCATAGACGCTTCAAAACAAAGGACTTCTGTTCATGGCCTTGGTTCATATCTTATTCGGTACGAAAGTTCCGGATCCACGTTTTTGCTTTATGTCAATTTATTATGATTTGCACCGGCCACTGAGGAGGATCTTGTGTGTGTGTGTGTGTGTGCTACCCTCAGCTTCACCTGGGTTCTTATCTCAACCTGCTTTGCAGCTTCTCGTAGCTGGCACGGAGAATGTCCTTCACATGTGTATAAAAACTCAGCGTTTTTACTGCTCGGAGACGTCATTACACCGAGCGCTGAGATACGTGCTGGTGTGTTGGACCTCCTGCTTGCAAGCAATAGTTAGAGCCAGATATCTGCGGAGAATTGCTCATGTAATCTTTTTCTCTTATAAATAAATGTTAACTTTTTGACTTTAATTGATCAACCTGCTGCGATTCTTCTCATCAACCAACTCGGGGGGATCGGAGATCCTGACAATTGATAGATACTAAATGTTGTTATCGCAGCATGTACAGGGAAGAGTAGAATAAAAAGATACACATTATATACAATATAATAAGATACATACAATATAATAAGATAAAAATATTAAATTATTAAATAAAATAAATTAAGTAAACTAAACTGAAACAAAAGAATAACCTTCAAGAATAGATAGCAATAATTAATAATTTGTAAAATGAGAAGAGGAAGAGCAGCAACATCACACCAGTACAGGGTTATTATTGTCATTATTTAGCCAGGGATGATTTATTGTAGAGTGTTATTTTGCACTGGGCAGGAATGATCTCCTGTATCGGTCCTTGTGACGGCGGAGCTGAAGGAGTCTGTTGGAGAACGTGCTCCGCTGTCCCTGTAGCAGGTGGTGGAGGGGGTAGTCAGGATTATCCAATATGGATAACAGTTTCTCAGTGACCTCCCCTCCAACACCTTTCCCAAGCTGTCCTGTTTGCAGCCAATGATGGAGCCGGCCTTCTTAACAAGTTTGTTAAGTCTGTTGGTGTCACCGGCTCCAATGCTGCAGTCTGAAAAGGGTCATTTGGGCAATGTTTTGATAACCGACCACAGCCAGTGGAGAGAGAGCACCAGCGGACTGACAGCAGCCCCGCCGCCCCATGTTTAAAGACATACAACAGTAGATAAGTATATAGATAAATTGTTTGACTAATACTACACACTAAAAAAGGTTGGGTTAAAAATAACCCAATTTGGGTTGTTTTATAACTCAACCGCTGGGTCACTATTGCACCAACCCAGCAGTAGTTAATTTTACCCAGCACTATGGGTTGGTCATTTTAACCCAACAGATGAGTTAAATATTCTACCCAAATGCTGGGTCAAATTAACTACAATTCTGGGTTGTTTCAGCTACATATAGTGGTTATATATTCTACCCAAATGCTGGGTCAAATTAACTACAATTCTGGGTTCATTCAACTACACACTATTTGTTGTCTATAAAACTGTTCAACTACAAACCTGTAACAAAATACATGCTAGATTTGTTCATGCAAAGGATATATCATAATTAACACTTGACAATATTGGAATTCTAAAATTAATATATCATAAAATATCCACAATATAAAATTAATTGTAAGTTTAAATCACTATCAACAAAATGGGGCTGCAACTAATGATTATTTACATTATCGATTAATCTGTCCATTTTGTAAATGATTAATCAATTAGTTATCAAAAAATGTTGAAAAAGATGACATCCTCAAATCTCTTGTTGTGTCCACAAAGAGACACTCAGTTTATTATCGTAAAAAAACAAGTCTAACAAGTGTTCATTTTTACTAATAAGCTGTCCTTGAGGCTCTACTTGCAAGTAATCGACTTTGGAGGAACTTGACTAACTTGGAACCCGCTCCTGGCATTTTATAAACAACAGTCTGCAGGAATTCCCACACATGTTCACATTGCTTCGGGTATTTGATATCCAACACAAAGAATGCCTTGAAGCAGACATCGATTGCCTGAAGCAGTGTGTCGTGTACCAGAGCCTGTCCAGCAATGATGACAAAGGCCTGGGATGCTTGATGTTTGTCGTTTCCCAGTGTCAGTACATACGGGTGCGGTCTGGATACCTTGGCCTCGAACCATGTTCGTTCCAGGCTAAAAAAGAAGATAAAATAAGATGGAGCTGTATTACTTGTGCAGTTTAAAAAGAGTATAAACTATTGAACCGAACAGTTTTTGTATTTTTCATTTTGTATTGCAGGTTTATTGATCACTAGATAGCAATGACTTGGAATGAAGTCCTTTATTATTTTGTGTCTGATCTACCGTTAAACAAAATGGTGGAAAAACAGTGGTCTGGTGTAGTTTCTGACTGTGAAACCTGTAGCTTGGTGAACACAGGTGTGTCTGATTGTGTGGATGAGAGGAGACTGTTTGATCGGACAGGTGTGTTAATGAGGGAGACTGGTGATGAAGGTTATTACAGTTAATACCGATGTTAACGGATCACTGCTGTATGTGCGTGTGTGTGGTTGTGAACGATCCTCGGTGTGTGACTGAAGGTTTCAGCCTCCCAGCGGTGACTGATGTTTATCATGGTGTGAATACAGTCGGAGGAGAAAGGGCTGCAGGCAGCGAAACTGAAAACTGACGGAAAACATTGTAGTCGGTTGATCAGGTGAATGTTCAATTTCCCAAATCAAAGTTTTCCTCTGGATGTAAACATGCTGTAAAAAGGAGCACACGGTTCTTGGAGCCGGAGATCAGCAGAGGAGCTAACTCTGTTTTCAGCTTCTGCTAGTCGTCTTGCGGCTCCTTTTTAGCAGTAGTTAATGAAAACAGTCAGTTTTTTTAACACTGTAAAACTTGTGTTACATAAAGGAATAATACAGCATTAGTCGCCCCTGTGTCTGTTCTAATTCTGCCTCTGTCCTGAACTTTCACTGTCTGCCGCTGCCTGTCCCAAAGTATAGTGAAACAAACCTGGGTAATGTGTGTGTGGGTGTGCTCAAATTCCTACACCCAGGAACGTTATTAACACAGCTGGGGTACTTACAGGCTTATGGTCAATGAATGCAATGCTGCATTCCTCAGTTGTGTGGCGAACCATTTTTGCACCGCGGCCACGGCCAACTTTGTAAGACAAAGGAGGAAGCAAGGCTGGTAATTGCCTCAAGGCAAGTTCACCAACAGCATCTGTAGGAAGACATTTTAGGTATCAATATGATGTGGAATGCCACCTGTGATTTTGTCATTCAGTATCCAACTAAAATAAAACCTATGCTGTTACATGCAGCCAATTCCCTCCCTGCAGAATCCACACACACACACACAGCACATACTGTTAGACCAGAGACATGTCAGTACACACTGAGAGCCAAAGCCTACTGAGGCCCCCCTACTGAGAATAAGACCCTGTCTTAGTCCAGTTGTTTGAGTTGTTACCTCGGTCAATAGTTCAGGGCAGAGTAACGTGTTCCCCAGCTAGGCTAGTGTCCCCGTTGAAAGCTTTCTCCCCTGGTTGGACAAGTGTAGCCTAGTGAGCGAGACCGGCTTCTCTGGGGGAAACCTTACATTGACACAAACCAACATTGACATTTGCAAGGTCTGCAAACAAGAATATATTACCTGTAGTTAATCCATCCAGGGGCAATGCCAACTTCCTCTCCAGTCTTGCCAGGTGCAAGATCTTCTCAACATAAATGGGTAGTCAGGTTTCAAACAACTTTGATGCAGCCCCGATCGATGGTCCAGTCGTTGTCCCTAATGCACTTGGCCCTGTAGACTGCCGTGTCCCGCATGTAGGCTCTACCTGACTGAGGGGCTGAGAATTGTTTCTCAACCATTCTTTAAATTGTGACGCACGTTCCTCTGATATGTTACATTCTGTAAAAAATAACACAAGAATGTTGTCAGTCACTAAAATATGGATGTTTTGCTTCATCAAAGGATTTTAAAGTTGTATAACTACCTGGTATGAGAGCCCTTTCAAGAGTGCAATCGTCTGGCATTTGAGTCTGTGCTGCCCTTGGAGACCTGCCGATTGATCTCAGTCTCTTTCGTATGTTCCGCAGCCTTTCCTCCAGGAATCCAGTAGCTGGCCGGTGGTTCCGTTCTGGGGTGTACCATATTTCCTGCCAAAAAATCAAAATCTTTGATGAATGGGATTAGGCACATTTTGATCTTGATAGCGTGTGCAATGGTTAGAACAGGGTTTGACCTTTTTCAAAAAACACTCACGCTGCCACTGTTTGAGGAGTCTCTCAAGCTGGGAAATGATTGAACCAAACTGGATGCCATGGCCTTTTTACTCTCTTTCGTAGGACTGTAAAATAGAAAAAACATCATCACACAGGTGAAAAGAGAAACGTACTATTGAATTTTTTGGCATATTTAACAGGAACCATATTCAACATAAAAAAACTGAATACAAAAATCTGTTTAAGTACTTCTCTCCACTCTAACATGTTTATAATTTATTATCTGGACAGTAGTTTTATTAGTTTGATTTTATAGATGTGTCTTCTCTATATCATTATGTTTAGGAAGAAAGTACAAACCAATAGTCCGCTTCGCCATTGACCATTGTTTACAGGAGACACCGCTATGTACAATCTGTGGATTCCCGATAACCCCGAAGACCCGCCTCTTTTCACACATTAGCCTATCATCCGTGGTGATCCACCCCTTATCTTATCACAAAGCTCTTGTTTTGGTTTTCTGTCAAGTAATGTTTCAGTGACGACACTCATGCATTCTTTGACAAGCCCTCCATCAGTAAATGGCTTTTTGTGTTGCCCCAAAATCCATGCAACTCTGAGGGAACACTCATGAGCACGTTGTTGGGCAGTGAACGTGTGGCTCAGGATCCTGGTTGACTGTTCATATTGGGCTGTGAGGCCACTTATTTTCTGTGATCTCACTTCGGATTTGAGTGGGTATGTTTGTTCAAAACCTTTATGTTTTGTCTCATAATGGCGTTTCACATTGCCACTTTTAATAAGTGCCACGGTTTCTGAACATATAAGACACACTGGTTTTGTGCTCCCTGTAGGAAGTATGAACAGAAATGAGTCTGTCCATTCCGGATTAAATGCTCTATTTTCGCTGTCAACTTTTCTTTTTTTGGAGAGCGACATTTGTTCCTTATGTTTCTCTCCCTTTCTCTGTCTCACTCGCCTTTTCCTCAACTTTCTCCGGCACAGTCGTCCGTTTCTCTCCCTTTGTTTTCTAAATGTATCGCTATCTTTCTTTTTCTTTCTCTAACGTTCTCATCTCTCAGCGCGGCCGCAGCGCTGTCTTGAGACGTAATGTTTACCGCCGAGAATTCATAGATTTGATTGGCTGAGTGGTATCACGTGGGATGGCTTAACTCGCATGCAATTGGTCTGTTCGTTTCCTCATCCGCTAAACCACTACCGTAAATACTGCAAAAGCCGCGCCGCGCCGCCGGGTAAAAAAAATAAAAACGCCGTCAGGTTTTAAATCACAACCTTCTGTTTTGGCTGGCGGTCCGGGTCTGGATGGGACGGCCTTCTTTTTTCTTTTTAAAGAGTTGCTCAGGTATTAATTTGGCTCGTACACCACCAATCCACAACGTACTCCTTACTTTATCTTATTCAAAATGCAGAATTAGATACAACAGGTTTCTGCTTACCTTATTTTGAGGCCGACCTGGGAGTACGTCGCGTTCAGCAGGTGTTAGATCGAATCCGCCTGTGCAGGAAAACCTCTCATCCCGGACGAGCCCCCAAATTGTCAGGATCTCCAATCCCCCCGAGTTGGTTGATGAGAAGAATCGCAGCACGTTGATCAATTAAAGTCAAAAAGTTAACATTTATTTATAAGAGAAAAAGATTACATGAGCAATTCTCCGCAGATATCTGGCTCTAACTATTACTTGCAAGCAGGAGGTCCAACACACCGGACGTATCTCAGCGCTCGGTGTAATGACGTCTCCGAGCAGTAAAAACGCTGAGTTTTTATACACATGTGAAGGACATTCTCCGTGCCAGTTACGAGAAGCTGCAAAGCAGGTTGAGATAAGAACCCAGGTGAAGCTGAGGGTAGCACACACACACACACAAGATTCTCCTCAGTGGCCGGTGCAAATCATAATAAATTGACATAAAGCAAAAACGTGGATCCGGAACTTTCGTACCGAATAAGATATGAACCAAGGCCATGAACAGAAGTACTTTGTTTTGAAGCGTCTATGAGCTCGTGTTGACCGCCCTCCCTTCTCAGGACACAGCTGCAAAGCAACATTTTGTATAATGCTGCTCTTTGCACATCAGGGTCAAATACAGGACACTTGAGACACGGCTTTAGCACAAAACAATGTTATAATATATTTTACCAGTACATGCATCTCACACTATCTATCTATCTTCATGAACAAATACAGAAGCCGTGTGCAAAAGAAGGCTGGCTAAGGGACGTGAGTGTTGACATAATGGAAGACATCGGTGGGTCCCCGAGGTAGCATGCTAGCATTAGCAGATCAAATCAATCAACATGGGTTTTCTGCAGATACGATTTTGACACATATTGAGGGTTTTGGGGAAATACTAGGGCGGATAAGTGCTCTTTTGCACACGGCTCTGTTGTCTGTTCTGAATGTCAGATGTAGCCACGCCACCTGATTTGCATATAAGAACGTGAAATGTAAAACGGCATTATGAAATAAGTCTCTGGAAATGAAAAACAGAATTATGAAATAAAAGACTCTGGAAATGAAAAGTGGCATTATGAAATAAACGTACTGTGGAAGTTGCGTTTTGAATTAAAGGCAATTCCGCGAGTTGAGAACAGCAGCGTGTATCTCGTTTATTTTTACCACAACAACAAACTCTAAAGATGGCGCAGCCCTGTAACCTCACAAGCAAGGGTCTCTACGTCACAAAATAACAAAACATTTAAAGGGACCGTGATCCCGGAACAGTCGCAATTGCGTGTACAACAAAAACGAGAACAAAGGTGAATTATGCAGTCACATTCACTACACACGTCCCCCCAGAATTCACCATACAAGAAAAATAATCAGTTGGGAGGTGGCCGTATCAACCGACCAGAACGGCTGTTTCAGAGGGGGTCGAGGAGCCCCAACCGTGGCAGGTGTACCACCGCGACACGGGCGTGGGGCGTTGAGTGTGGGAGTCCCGGGAGGGAGGGACACAGGGGGTGGGCACAGAGCTGGAGGACGCCCGCGTCGTGGGGGCTGGGCCGATTCAATGGGCCTAGCAACGTCCAAATGAGCTGGTTTGAGGCGGTCGATGGAGAATTGCTCCGGTTTACCACCCATGTTCACCACAAAATGTTTGTCTCCAGTCTCCAAAACCCGGAATGGGCCCTCGTAGGGCGGGCGTAGCGGTCCCCTGTGAGCGTCGTGGCGAATAAAGACATATTCAGCCGTCTGAAGCCCAGCGGGGACGTGCGACTGAGGGAGGCCGTGACGGGAAGTAGGGACAGGTGGAGAAAAGCTTTGCATTGTCCAGTAGTGCGGCCCGCTGTAAGGTCGCAGACCAGGGAACAGTGGAAGTAGGGACAAAATCCCCTGGAACCCTCAGTGGCTGGCCATAGACAAGCTCCGCGGACGAGGACTGCAGGTCTTCCTTCGGTGCAGTCCTGATGCCAAGCATCACCCACGGGAGATTGTCGACCCAGTTGCCGTCTTTGAGGCCGGCGCGAAGAGAAGCCTTCATCGACCTGTGAAATCGCTCACAGAGCCCGTTAGCCTGCGGGTGGTATGCAGTCGTGCGGTGGTGTTTCGTTCCGAGGCTCTGGGCCACCGCGTTCCACAGCTCGGACGTGAACTGCGCGCCCCGGTCAGAGGATATGTCCGAAGGGGTGCCAAAACGGGCAACGCAGGTGCCGATAAATGCCCGGGTCATCTCGACAGCGGTCAACAATGTCAGTGGTACAGCCTCGGGCCAACGGGTGGTCCTGTCAACCATGGTCAACAGGTAATTGAAACCATGAGAGGAAGGCAGAGGGCCCACTAGATCCACGTTGACATGGTCAAACCGCCTCTCTGGCACTGGGAACAACTCTAACGGAGCTTTGGCATCAAAGACGCGTCGTCTCCACCCCGTGGGAACGATCGGCCGAGGACTGCCTGTGGAGACGTCGCACACGAGCGTGGTTTTGGCTTCACCAAAAACCTACCCACTGCTCGTAGACGGCACCGACAGCGTAGTCCGAGGCATCCGAGGTGATGGCGACAGAGGCTGTGGCTGAAGGATGTGCCAGCATGGTGGCCCGCGCCAGGGCTGCCTTAGTGTCCACGAATGCTTTGTCCCTGCCCTCAGTCCAGTCCACGGCGTGCGTGGGCTTACCCTTCAAGGCCTCATGCAATGGCTGCATGAGCTGAGCGGCTCGAGGGATGAAATGGTGGTAAAAGTTCACCATGCCAAGGAACTCCTGCAGGGCTTTCACGGGGAACTGTGTGACCGCCTCCACCTTTGATGGGAGCGGGACTGCACCATCCTTGGTGACTCTATGTCCTAGGAAGTCAATGGTGGAGAGACCAAACTGGCACTTAGCAGGATTAACAATAAGGCCATGTTGGTTGAGCCGCTCGAAAAGTGCTCGGAGGTGCGACAGGTGCTGAGCTTTGGACGTGCTCGCTACAAGAATGTCGTCCAAATACACAAAAAGAAAAGGCAGGTCGCGTAAAAGTCCATGAGGCGCTGAAAAGATTGGGCTGAGTTTTTAAGGCCGAACGGCATCCTTAGGAACTCAAAAAGGCTGAACGGTGTAATCACTGCTGTTTTTGGAATGTCCAGTGAGTGCATGGGAACCTGATGATAGCCCCAGACGAGGTCCACCTTAGAAAAAATCACCATACCAGCCAGGTGTGCTGAAAAATCCTGTATGTTCGGGACTGGGTATCGGTCAGGCGTTGTTGCCTCATTAAGCCGCCGGTAGTCGCCGCATGGGCGCCAGCCGCCACCAGGTTTGGGGACGATGTGAAGAGGTGGCGCCCACGGGCTGGCGGACCGGCGAACTATTCCAAGGCGTTCCATGTTAGAAAACTCGGCCTTAGCAACGGCAAGCTTGGTCGGGTCGGGGCGCTGAGCACGGGCGTTCCACACCATGCTTCACGGCAGATGCAGAGAAAGTGGGCTGGGTGAGTTCTGGAAAACCAGCCAGTAGACGGTGGAAGTCGTCTGATGGGGAGAGCATGCTAGACAATCGTATGGAGTCAGCCCCGCTCAGCGTGCACGTGTAAGAGCAGAACGTGACAGCGTCGATCAAACGGCGGTTCTTCACATCCACCAACAGTCCATGCGCACACAAAAAATCAGCGCCAAGGAGGGGAACAGCGACTTTAGCCGTGACAAAATCCCAGCCGAACCGAAGCACAACTCAATGTACCTTGTTCCATACGTGCGGATGGGGGTCCCATTAGCAGCTTCCATCGGGGGGCCATGGCTGTTGGTTACCATGTCCAAACGGGATGCAGGCAGAACACTCCTCTGTGCACCCGTGTCGCACAGGAAACGTCGTCCGGAGATGCTGTCACGGATAAAAAGCAGCCTGCCTACGCGGCCAACACTCATGGCCACTAATGAGCGCCGGCCCCGGCGTTTCCCAGACCGCCGAAACTGCATGGCGAGCGGCATTTAAGGGCCTTCGGTCCAAACTTCTCGTGATAGAAGCACAAGCCTGAAGAAGACTGCTGGGGGCCTGAAGCTTGCTGACGCCCTGAAGATGGCTGCTGACGAGAAGAGGTTGCTGCGACAAGGGTGGAATCCTCCAATCCATTGTCACAGGAGCGACGTGTGGGAAGAAACGCAGCCGTGACACAGTGTCCTTGGCTTGCCAGGAAAAATTTATCAGCCTCTTCAGCCAGTTTTCGACAGTCAGTGATTGTGGTGTTGGCCAATGCAGCTCTGACTTGGGAAGGCAGCTGACGCAGGAAAAGCTGAATGAAAAGAAAATCGGGTGTGTGCTCACCCAGAAGATCCAGCATACGGTCCATGAGCTCAGACGGTTTGCTGTCACCCAGTCCTTGGAGGGAGAAAAGCCTGCTAGCTCTCTCGGCGTCGGACAGTTCAAAAGTCTTTAACAGGTGCGCTTTCAGCGCTGCATATTTCTCCGTATCTGGAGGACGTTTAAGGAGGCTCACCACTCGGGCCGCTGTTGAGCTACCGAGAGCCGACACAACGTAGTAGTACCGCGTTGTATCAGCGGTGATCTCCCGCACCGCGAACTGCGCTTCAGTCTGGGCAAACCATGCCGACGCTGACGATTCCCAGAACTCGGGGAGCTTGAGGGTGACAGCGTTCGCGGTAATGGTCGAGTCGTGTTTGCGAATACTTCAGGCAAACGAACGTCGGGACCACTGCCACCACCAGTGTGGAAGTTGCGTTTGGAAAGAAAGGCAATTCCGCGAGTTGAGAACAGCAGCGTGTGTCTCGTTTATTTTTACCACAACAACAAACTCTAAAGATGGCGCAGCCCTGTAACCTCACAAGCAAGGGTCTCTACGTCATAAATAACAAAACGTTTAAAGGGACCGTGATCCCGGAACAGTCGCAATTGCGTGTACAACAAAACGAGAACAAAGGTGAATTATGCAGTCACATTCACTACAGTACCATGAAATAATTAAATGTATTTAATATGTATGTATTTATTGCCTCATTTATTTATTTCATGATGTATTTCAAATGCATATTTCATGTATTTACGTATTTATTCATTTATTTAATTTAGACTAAAACGGCATTCTATATTAGGCAGCTACGAACCATATCAGCACATGTTTAGAGCGGGATGAGACAGCTGCTGTAGAAAAACTGTATGTGGCACAGAAAGGAAGAATAGAATAGCCGAATCAAAGCTACTGATTGTGCAGAATTTCTTCCAAGTGGCTGTTGATTTTTATGCCTGATCACAAACATCAACATGGCAATTTCAAGTTATTGACCTACTAGCCGATGATCAAATATTAAATTACTTTCTTTCTAGTTAGAGATGTAAATATTTATATTAATAAATGTACACTCTGGTGAGGTTGGTTTTTGTGTTTTCTCTGTTCAGGTATATCTTCAACAGCTAAAAACGGGCCTTTATAAAGAGTTTCTCAGTCTTTCGTACCGTCTCAGTTGTCGGTGAGGCCGGCGGGGCGGATCCCACATTCGAGTCAAAGAGAAAATAAAGCAACACCATAACAATAATAACAATTCGGCCGATTCGTACAATTCGCTAGCAAGCTCCCCCGTGGATACATACCATTAAGGTAGGTGAATCCGTAGTCGTGCTATCAAGGCAACGCCGCTCCGTCCGGCTGCTGTTTAGCACGCGTCGCTGTAGCTACCGGACAACCAAGCTAGCATGCGTGAAGATGCTACCTAACGTTAAGTCTGTGCTAACGGTTGTGCAGCAAGGGCCGTTTTTTACCAAACCTCCAAGATTACAACGCCGTGTTTTCCGCACTGTTAAATGGAATCTTAGCCACACGCCGGCTGTTGAAGATACTGCTTCGTGGCTGCAGTTGTTAGTGGAAATACTGTTTAAAAAAACGGAGAAATTCGGATTTCAAATCCGTCCTCCCAGACCGAAGTTAGCTAACGTTAGTAGCCACGATGAAAGGGGGTTTGAGATTTAGGGAATGTAGTGACTACTGGTTGACATATTTCGTCATGAAGCTATCGTTTCAACCTAACTTACAGTTGTGCAACATAATTAGTTGTTACACTAATTAGGGGTTAGGTGTCTTGCGCAGGGACACTTCGACTTGAGAAATGTGGCAGTCGGGACTCGAACCACCAAACTGGCGGTTCCCAGCACACCCGCTCTACCCCCTGCGCCACGACGACCTTCAGTTCTATATCATTTCCCACTTCAGACTCTTACACAACTTTCCTTATTCTGCAGATTACGATGTTTTCATTTAATCAATGAGATGTTATCTTTGAAATTCGATTCTTGTGACATTCATCTTTTCCCACTGCAATCTGCGTCATCTCGTCTATAGATCGGATGGTTCAGAAATTTACCAATTAACTGTAAGACTTTGTTTTGAAAAGACTACTCTTCATGTTTTGGACATTTTGGCATTTTGCTTATTTTTAGTGATACAAAGAGCCTACATCCTCTCTCCTGATATTGACAATGATACCGAACACAGAGTAACAAGAAAAACAATTGCTCATCCAAACATCTTTTACTTTATATTTCCTAAATTTGATATCAACATTTTTCCACTGCATGAAGTTACTTGTTTTGACATACAGATGACTGAGTTGTGGGCTTGACTGTAGTAGCCACACGCCAGCTGTTGAAAAACATTTGTCTCCAGATTTAGACGGTTTTATTTCTTTTTAATTTTCTATGGTAGAGTAAACTGGATCACTATCAAGTCAAGAAGGATAAAGGGGAGCTTCTCAACCAGGACCAGCTGGTGGGTAGTAATGATATGTAATGAAGAACAATATCGACAAAGATAAAGAGTAGAGCGAGTATTTGCATTCTCCACTATCATTGAGCGTTTACAGAGCAAGTGATTTTTTCAACTGAGAAAAATATTGACATAATAATCCATATAGAGTAATCGGAATCTGCATCGCTAATTTCATGATATTGTCCACAATCGTGATCATGTAGCGTGTAGTGAATTAAATTCAGCCATAGTTTTGACATATTTCAACTGATTCTGACATTTCTTCTCTTTTAATCATTTGTGTATATACAATATATATCAAGACATTTTATTACCACCAGAAGTTAACCGTTCACACTTTACTTTCTAGATGCCCTCAGCGATGAACGCAAACCGAACAGTGCAGTCTGCCAGCCCAGATGTGGGATCTGCTCCAGGGTCAATGGGCAATTTTGCACTTGGTGGACAGGCTGAAGTTTTGAAGCAAGTGCTGTGTGTCCTCGACAAGAAGGTTCGCAACTTGGAGAAAAAAAAGGTGAGTTGGTTCGAGAGCAATTTGATCCGGATCCTTTCTGATAACTACATTCCTATGTGTCTGTTGTGTACATTAAGAGGATTTTGCAAAAACGTCTGTCTCCAGATTTAGACGGTTTTATTCATTTTTAATTTTCTGTGGTAGAGTAAACTGGATGACTATCAAGTCAAGAAGGATAAAGGGGAGCTTCTCAACCAGGACCAGCTGGTGGGTGCATTGAAACAAAGAACAAATACTCTTGTAATTTTTTTAACTACATTTACAACCTTGCATACTCATGTGCCTTTTGCCTTCCTAGGACGCACTCAACAAATTCCAGGAAATCACCTATAACTTGGAATTTGGCCGAGAGCTGCAGAAGACGTTCATCACACTGGGACAAGATGTAAGGATGACTGTCTCTTGTGTGAAACTGTTACCTCAGAGGTTTTTTTCACCCTAACTTTTAGTAACTTGACTTTATGTGGTTAAATCATTAGATCCAGAAGGTGGTGAAGAAGTCTGCACGGCGGGAGCAGCTGCAGCGGGAGGAGGCAGGGCAAAGGAGGCTGAAGACCATTTTGCAGCTGCAGTTCCTTCTGGACCGGCTGGGAGAGGACAATGTGCGGCGGGACCTGAAGCAGGGAGTTGGGGGCTCACCAATGCTGACGGACGTGCACCTTGCAGCTTTTGATGAGTTCTACAAGTTAGTGGTACCAGACTGTGACCAAAGTGTCAGGTGGGTCAGAGTAATTGATATCTTGAGTGCAGTTGAGATGCCAAAGCATTGTTCCTTTTTCACCAATGCGAAGGCATACATCTTGTATCTACACACGCAGGTTGGTTGACCGGTATGAAGAAGCATCTGTGCACCTCTGGGACCTACTGGAAGGGAAGAACAGGGCTGTGGTCGGGACAACATGTAAGTGACATTTCACATGGAGCCTAGGAATGATTGAGAGCAGTAGAGCTCAATTTTTTTGTAACAATTGCTTTAACTTTTTATTTTTGGCACAGTTTATTTTGCAGCGAAATTGTTTGTTGATTTTGCAGATTTAGACTAAACAAGCCATTTGAAGACAATAACTCAAAAAAAACTTGTGATGGGCACGTCAAAGACCAATGATTAATCAATTCATGGACAAAGCAACTGCAGATCAATGTTGAATTGAATTATTTGTGGAAAATCACTAATTCATTGCAAAGACTAAGTTGACATGTAAGGGGATTTATTGTTTAAACAAAATTGACTTTTATATTGATTCTCAAATAGTTGAAAAATTAGTTTGTAGGACATTTTATTGGATGGTTGCTGCCACGGCGCATTATTGTGACAGGGGAGCATAAGTAACTAGAAAATGTTTTTTTTTTTCCTGCTGAAAATGCGTTGGAATGCAAAAAGCTGAAATGAACTTGAGAAAATTGCTGAAATTACAGAAAGTTGAAGGGAATTTTAATACATTTGCTGAAATTACAGATATTAGAAAAGCTGAAATTAATTTGAAATAGCTGAAAATACAGAAATGGGAGAAGCTGAAAGGAATTTCAATAGATTTGCTGAAAAAGAAGAAATGAAAACAGCTGGAATGAATTTGAAAAATTGCAAAAAATACAGAAATGAATATTAAAACATTGCAGCTAATACAGCCATAAGAGAGGCTGAAATGATTTTAAAGAACTGGAAATACAGAAATGAGAGAAACTCCACAGTCCAGTGTTAATTTTGGCAGCTATTTTTGATTTAGTCTTAGTCTTTAGACGAAAATGGATATTAGTTTTAGTCACATTTAGTCATTTTTTTCCTTCTTAGTTTTAGTCTAGTTTTCGTCGACAAAAACTCAGAACATTTTAGTCTAGTTTTAGTCAACGAAAACTAGACTAAAATGTAATTAGTTTTAGTCACACTTAATAGCCATATTAAACTCCTTTTCTTCCCTTCTCAGGCCCAGGGACCCCCTGTATTGTGTCTACAACTGCATAATAGTCTAGCTTGCAGTACTTGGTTGTCCATCAGATGTCCCTCCTAGGACAGGTCTATAACAGGGGTCGGCAGACTTTTTGACTCGTGGGCCACAATGGGTTGTAAAATGTGACGGAGGAGCCGGGCCAAGAACAAAGGGTCGAAGTGTTTGTGTGAGCGAATATAAATGACATGTGAAAAATCATTACATGAAAGGATTTGGATTTTAAGCATTTATTTGCAAGGCAATTTAACAAATTGATTGATTGATTCTTTGTCTCTTTGTTTATTTGTTGCTTTCATGACCTGTTCTTCTCTCTTGTGTCCTGCGGGTTTTCCTCCACCTGCTCTGTGCCGCCACATCCTCCACCTGCACTGCGCAGTTCTATCAAAAGGATCCACCTGTCACGTGTGTGCGTGCCTCTATGTTGCTTAGTAACTAACGTACGGTGGCCGAGACGGTTTAACAGTTTTCTCACGATGTGGCGCGTGAACTATAGTTGAAATGCGTGAGGCTTCAGAACCTGCAATGAGTTTATTATGTTAGACGTGTTTTTAACGAAGCGCCTCATCCACCGAGGAAACGCTGCCTGCCGTCGCCAGAGAACAGAGCAGAAAGGTCCGACATTCTGTTAAACGGGTCCTCATGTTTCTGTGAAGCAGCGCGGCTTCAGCCTGCTAACAGTCAGCTAAACTAACGAAGCCACGTTCAAACTCGCCGAAGCGTAAAATAGTCGTCGCGGTCCGTAGTCGGTGCACAAGAACCACCGCTGCACCGCTGCGAGCGTTCTGGGTTCGTGGATGACGTCATCATGACGTGTTAATATCCGCCGTACTTTGCCTGCCTGTTGTCTGTCAGCTGCGTGCGAATTTAGGGTATTTAAAAAGTATTGTGACTTCGTCAACCACAAACATTTTCGTCTCGTCTCGTTAACGAAAGTTAGAATAGATTTAGTCATAGTTTTTATTTTTTAAGATCGTTTTCGTCACGTCTTAGTCTCGTCTTAGTCATGGAAAAAAGGTTTGTTAGTTTTCGTCGACGAAATTAACACTGCCACAGTCAGTGCCACAAAGGCAATCAAAGACAGCCTAGCTAGCTATCTAAAGAGATGAGAGATTTTCACTGGCCACTTGTCACTGTTATTGATGGTGCAATGCTAGCTAGCGCCGTGTTAGCGCTATGCTAGCTAGCGCCATGTTCCCTCCCACGTAGGCCTGTGTGTCTTTCAGACTGTAGGGGAGGGAGAGTGAGTGCTGGCACGCTGTTTTAGCCACTTGTCAGCCGTTTGGATCTGTTAATGCTGGTGAAACGCTAGCTAGCGCCATGTTAGCTAACATAGGGTCATGTTCAGGTGTGCAAACTTGTCACCTTTCGGCGAAATTCGCCGTTTTTGTTTCAAAATAGGTCATTTGTGTGATTCATGTAGATCTGCAATAAAAATGTTTTTTTTTGGGGGGGGGGGGGGTCCGGTCCGGTCTGGCGCGTTTCCACCGAGCGGTACGGGTCATAAATAATGGGAAATCAACGGAGAAATCAAAGGCTCACTCTGATATCAATGTAATGTTAGCGAATGAAGGGTGAGAAGCCCCCTGCCTCCCTCTTGCTAATATTTTTTCTGTTCGTCCAAACCAAAATCTTTTCTTGAGGTTCCAAACATTTCCAAAGCAATTTGTCTTTGAATGTGAGTAGTCGATCGAGTTATCTTATGTCCCGTCGTTAAAAGCAAACCTTTTAGCCCTGGCATTGGTCTCCCATTATTTATTTATAACGTCACTGGAATGGAAGTCCATTTTCCAGGCTCTTCATTGAGGCAGAAGTTAGGTTTGCCTTTCATATGTGCTTATTATTGGCGAGCTAAATAGCCGCAGCTTATTTGTGTTTTTCTGGAATAACATTGAAGCATATGCAAAAAAAAATATATATATATATTCCCCGAGGGGGGGGTTCGGATCTTTGTCACCTTTTTCATCCCTGATGAGTTTGCACCCCTGCATGTTAGCGCCATGTTAGCTAGCGCCGTGTTCTCCCCGTAGACCGTCTGTGTGTCTGTCAGACTACGTAGGGGAGGGAGAGAGTGCTGGCACGAGCCTGTGTGGTCGTCATGGAGACGGCGCAGCTGCTGTTTTCACGGGCTGATCACAGACCGCGCAGAGTAAACGGATTTTACCAAGAAACCACACCTCAAACAAGTGTCCTCTAGGGCGACCCGGTGGTCCCCAACCACCGGGTCGCAGACCGTTTGGTACCGGGCCGCACCACAGAAAGCTTATATATATTTTTTTTTCTGAAAAATGTTTTATTTTGAAAATTGACTGGATTTTCTCCTAATTATGTGCGCTCGTCCCTCCGACATATTCCCCGCGCGTCACCAGGCGTTTTTCTTCACGTTTACAATTGTTCTCTTACAGTGCACGGCAGTTTCTCCCACCAGCGAACACAGAGCGCGCGACTACTACACCGAGTTTAAATGGTGTCTGTAGCTGAAAGATTGGCGAAGCTGAAAAATCTGAAAGTTGAAGAAGTTTAAGAGGATTTGAAAACGGTCTGCATTGGAAAACCATGTGAATAATTATTCATGATTTATATAAATGCTTAATGCATTCCAACAACTTAACAGCCACGGCCGCAGATCTCTCGCTCGCACTCACACACGCACTCACTCGCTCTTTCTCTCTTGCACCGTCGTGCTCTCTGCGCAAAGCGGTTTAGATAAACGACAACAATAAACAAATGCTGAGTTTTGTGCAAGCAATTTGAGGTTGCGATTCTTGTCCCAAAGATGGCAGGCGTCATTCAGTGATTATAGAATATTTGTTGACAGCCCTACTGCGTGTAGTGCATTCTCAGCGATCCCGCCTCACAACTCGCCTGGAGCCACATTAGAATACAGGTGAACCAGTTCACTGCGGTGACAACGGCCAACACGTTCCCCTCAGTACAGAGGTCTCACTCGGTAACTCACGGTGATTCTTATTCAGGCATCAGACTTGTTGGCTTGAAGCCTGAGGCAGAGGCTCTTGTAGTATTTTCTAGTAAATCAATCAAGTCCTTATTGTTTTACTATCATATTTATTATCTATCTACTTTTTAGCCCATACTAGGCATTGCTTTTCCTACAATTATGGACCAATGTGAATGCTGCCATAGTTTTACGGTCCTTATCAGTTGTGCCTGCCAAAAGAGTGCAGTGCAGAGAGGCAGCAGTCCGTTTATCCAGATAGACTCAACCAAGAGCCCAGCTGTTATAACGGTAGGGGAGACTTTGATCTGTATTCTTCTCACAGTGGTGAATAAATGCCCTCTATTTAGTTTGCTGAACGGAAACAACCTTGTGCTTTCATTCACTTTGCTTCTCTTTGTACGAGGTGATGTTTCCACTTAAGTAATCTATAGTTGTTGGAATGCATTAAGCATTCCAAGTATTGTTCTTCAAATCTTTATTTCTTCATCTTCTATTTCTTCCGCCGGCACCTTTCAACTCCTTCACAATTTCAGCTATTAAAACCGTTCAAATATTAAATGCTTCACAGAAACATGAAGACCCGTTTAACAGACTGTCGGACCTTTCTGCTCTGTTCTCTGCCGACGGCAGGCAGCGTTTCCTCGGTGGATGAGACGCTCCGTTACAAACGCGTCTAATGTAATAAACTCATTGCAGGTTCTGAAGCCTCACGCATTTCAACTATAGTTCACACGCCAGATCGTGAGAAGACGGTGTTAAACCGTCTCGGCCACCGTATGTTGGTTACTAAGCAACATAGAGGCGCGCGCACACACGTGACAGGTGGATCCTTTTGATAGAACTGAGAAAGAAAAGACTGTTGAATGAAAAGTGGGGGTCCAGTTTAGAATGGCTGGTTTATGATGCAGCCAAGAAAATAATGTATTGCAAAGATTGTAGGACGTTGAGGTCTCTTTTGTTGGGACAGTGGAAACAATAAAGGACCATGAAGTTTCAAAAGCATTGCAAGTAAACAGACAAAGACAACAAAGTGTTGTGTTTAGATCCCTGGTCCTCATGAAGTTGACTTTACACACTTGCCAATTTGTTAAATTGCCTTGCAAATAAATGCTTAAAATCCAAATCCTTTCATGTAATGATTTTTCACATGTCATTTATATTCGCTCACACAAACACTTCAACCCTTTGTTCTTGGCCCGGCTCCTCCGTCACATTTTACAACCCATTGTGGCCCACGAGTCAAAAAGTCTGCCGACCCCTGTTATAGACCTGTCCTAGGAGGGAAATCTGATGGACAACCAAGTACTGCAAGCTAGACTATTATGCAGTTGTAGACACAATACAGGGGGTCCCTGGGCCTGAGAAGGGAAGAAAAGGAGTTTAATATGGCTATTAAGTGTGACTAAAACTAATTACATTTTAGTCTAGTTTTTGTCGACTAAAACTAGACTAAAATGTTCTGAGTTTTCGTCGACGAAAACTAGACTAAAACTAAGAAGGAAAAAAATGACTAAATGTGACTAAAACTAATATCCATTTTCATCTAAAGACTAAGACTAAATCAAAAATAGCTGCCAACATTAACACTGGACTGTGGCAGCTTCTCTCATTTCTGTATTTCCAGTTCTTTGAAATAATTTCAGCCTCTCTTACTGTTGTATTAGCTGCAATGTTTTAATGTTCATTTTTTTGCAATTTTTCAAATTCATTCCAGCTGTTTTCATTTCTTCTTTTTCGGCAAATCTATTGAAATTCCTTTCAGCTTCTCCCATTTCTGTATTTTCAGCAATTTCAAATTAATTTCAGCTTTTCTAATATCTGTAATTTCAGCAAACATATTCAAATTCCCTTCAACTTTCTGTATTTTCAGCTATTTTTAAAAATTCATTTCAGCTTCGTGCATTCCAACGCATTTTCAGCAGGAAATGCATTTTCTAGTTGAGTGTGGCCAGCGAAGCTGAGCCAAACTCCTTGTAATCTCCCATACTTATTATTATTGAGTGTGGCCAACGAAGCTGAGCCAAACTGTAATCTCACATACTTAACATGCTATATTATTCTCCTTCCGTACAAAAGTTTGGCATACATCTGCACCGGCACCTTGGTCGGAATTGTCTCAAAATAGTCTCAAACTGTCAGTACAGATCGGGAATCGTGTGCTATTATCTGAATAAGAGAATAGACTAAGAAAAGTCTCCATAGCGCCCCCTAGAATGTTGAAAAGTACCACACTAGGCCAGTTTTTTCCCCTAATGCCCGATTGACTTGAAATGTGGCACACATGTGCTCTTGGACATGCTCTAATAAAAAGTCAATCACTGTATTCAAATGTGCCTAGCTAGACTTTCCGCCATTTTGAATTTTGTGAAAAACACATTTTTGGCCATTTCTCCTAATGGCCATGTCCGATTGTCACAACATTTTCTGTAGATCATTATTGGGTCAATGCCCCCCTGTCCCCCGTTAGGATCGCGTTGATATCTCATTGTTTTGAGAAGTTATGGGCTAATGAACTTCGCAACGGGTGTGTCTTAATGTTAAGCACTAGCAACAGGACCCAACTGCTGACACGTGGCTAAAACAGCCAGAGAAAATTGGTTCACCTCCTTAGTTTGCTAGCTAGCCTTTGTGGCTAGCCTTCACTTTTCTGCTTGGCCGTTTAATGTACAGGCACCTGCGGGCAGTCTAGGCCACACTCTGCTCACACACTGCAGAATTTTCCAGTTTCTGATTCTTGTTTATTTTTTTAAGCTGCTTTAGTGGAGCCAGGATGGGTGAAATTGTCATTCACCATTGATACCCATTACCTGGGGAAGGAGTTATGCTCTGAAAATGTTTTTTTGTATTGACTGTTAAAACTAAGTGACCTAACATGAGTAGAGAAGGTTAGTACAACCTTAACTAGCATTAGCACAAGGCCCCGCTAACTACTGAGGGTTTACTGAACACAAACTGCATTTAAATGATTAATAAACAGTAAACTAAACTGTTTTGACTCAATCCCCAGCTGTAGGTGGGATTCACCTACGCTGGGGTTTGTCAGCTTTTACACTTCTAGTTTTCACTGCTGAATCAGACGTATCCTCCAAATGCATATTGTAGATTATTCTGTCTGCTCCACACTAAAAGTGTGTATGTTATACAAATATTAGATATTTCTTAGTGATAGTTGGTGACGTTCCATGCCTGACTGAGAATTAGAAGAAGCAGCCAACTACATTGTTTGATTTGTGATTTTGTGGCTTGCTTTCAATTTTAATTGCTCATTCTATTCTTCCTCTACTAGACAAGGCACTGAGACATACTTTGGACCAGGTTATGCTGAGTGGGTACTTTGACCAGGTGCAATCTCACCAAAACGGAGTGTGTGAGGAGGAAGAGGCGGAGGAACAAGCCCCAGCGGCGGCGGCGGTGGCTGAAGCAGCTGCAGCATCTGCAGATGTCGTAGCTGAGTCGTCAAAAGCAGAAGAGCAGAGTCAGACTGCTGATCCAGGTCCTGACCACACTCTAAAAACATGCTCTTTTATACTTATACTGTCTTTTAAATACTCACACAATGAATCTTCAATGATGTTGGTGCTGCTTTCTCTAAATGAATAGTTCTTCTCTTTACAGAACTGGAAGTAGTTGAGGAGTTCACAGATTCCATTGCGGTGGAAAAAACAGAGGTGAGATTAATTTTCCCGTTTCTAATAGTGTTTTGGGTTGGTGTTGTAATCTTTTTGCAGAGTGCTTATTTTTGTTTTTTCTTTCCTCCCACTAGTTTCCAGACGGCACATACAGCGGCAGCGAGAAGGAGCGGGGGGATGAGTGGGCCACGGAAACAGAGGTAGGTTGCAGGGATGCAACAATGTTGATCAATGTTTCTCCTGCTTTAGATGCATACACAAAAATAACCATTAAACCACACGTGTACCGTGTTTTACAAGGCAGCAAACCGTATGTTATTGTGAACCGTGTGTCATTAACATTTGCAAGTAGTATACTGTAAGTAGTCAGTGTACGTCCGTGATTATTGCATTAATGCATTAAGCATTCCAAGTATTGTTCTTCGAATCTTTATTCCGCCTTCTTCTTCTTTTTCTTCCTCTATTTCTTCCGTCGCACCTTTCAACTCCTTTACACTTTTTGCTATTAAAACCATTCAAATATTAAAATATTCAGCTCCCACCCCACCCAGTCCAATAATTTCAAAATAAAACCCCCACGGAGGGTATTTTTACTGTAATGTTTGTGATGAGGCCTATTAATTAAAAACTTCTTAGTTTGAATAACAAACATTCTGTCTCCCAACCCCCCCTCACCCAATTCCATCATATCAAAATAAAAGCCTCAATGATTATCTGTACCTTAACCATAAAGCTCAGAATGAAGCGGTTTCGTTGAAATACGTATTGCTCTTTAAATACTACTACAACCACTACGAATATTACTAATACTACAACCGATTCTTCTACCATACTACTAGTATTTCTACTTCTCTTAATACTATGACTACTACTAATGATATTACAAATACTACTATGGCTAATAGTATTAGTAGTACAGCTGTTTCTACTGCTATTGATACTAAACCTACTTCTACAGCTAGTACTACTAATACCACAATTAACACTATAACTAATACTACTACTAATATTACTAAAAACAATTTTAAACCTCTTTTTAGTCATCTCAGCTTTTGTTATTTCTGTAACTCCTGCAAATTCTGTATTTTTTAGAAAATCTATTGAAATTCAGCTTCCCCACTTCCTGTATTATCAGCAGTTCTTTAAAATAATTTCAGCTTTTCTTATGCCTGTATTAACAGCAATGTTTTAATATTCATTTCTGTATTTTTTTTGCAATTTTTCAAATTCGTTTCAGCTGTTTTCAGCAAATCTATTAAATCCTTTCAGCTTCTCCCATTTCTGTATTTTCAGCAATTTCAAATTAATTTCAGCTTTTCTAATATCTGTAATTTCAGCAAATGTATTCAAATTCCCTTTAACTTTGTTAAAAACTCTTATCAGCTATTTTTAAAAATTCAGTTCAGCTTTCAGCTTTTTGCATTCCAACGCATTTTCAGCAGGAAATGCATTTTCTAGTTATTATATTTCTTCCGCCGCACCTTTCAACTCCTTCACACTTTCAGCTATTAAAACCGTTCAAATATTAAATGTTCAGCTCCTTTCTGGCTTTCCAGCTCTGACTTTTCAGCTTTCTACCTCTTATGCTTGAATTTATATAAATCAATAATCATTAATATTTTAACATGGTTTTCAAATGGAGTTTGTTTTCAAATCCTCTTAAACTTCTTCAACTTTCAGACTTTTCAGCTTCGCCAATCTTTCAGCTACAGATACCATTTCAACTTTCAAATGTTGACACAGGTCTCAACTATTTTATGAAAAAAAACGCTTGTTGATATCTATTCTACTTTTTTCATAATCACTGATTATGTTTCACTAGTTCTTCGCTCCGTTTCTGAGTTTTACATGAGTGTGTATTGCGTTTGTTAGAGTGAGAGCTGAAAGGCTAGAGTGTGGCCAGAGAAAATCTCTCACGTCTTTAGATAGCTAACTAGGCTGTCTTTGATTGCCTTTGTGGCACTGACTGTGCCAGCTTCTCTCATTTCTGTATTTCCAGTTCTTTAAAATAATTTCAGCTTTTCTCATGCCTGTATTAAGAGCAATGTTTTAATATTCATTTTTGTATTTTCTGCAATTTTTCAAATTCATTTCAGCTGTTATCATTTCTGCTTTTTCAGCAAATCTATTTAAATTCCTTTCAGCTCCTCCCATTTCTGTATTTTTCAGCAATTTCAAATTCATTTCAGCAAATGTATTAAAATTCCCTTCATCTTTCTGTAATTGCAGCAATTTTCTGAAGTTCATTTCAGCTTTCAGCTTTTTGCATTCCAACCTATTTTCAGCAGGAAATGCATTTTCTAGTTTAGTATAAGATTTGATTTTATAGTTATTTACAATTCCACCTCAGCATTGAAGAGCTGGACGGTGGACTTGCATCTTAACAGAATAGTGTATTTGTACACCGGCATGCTTTTAAGGGAATGCTATTAAAAACACAATGAGCTATGGGCTTACGCACCACTTTTTGGGAACTGTCATCCAATAACCCCTGTGGAGGCTAAGCCAAACTTAATTGACGCGCCGCTGTTGTACCATGAATTAGAGTCCTATAAGGTTTTTGATACGTTGCAAACTAGTCCATTCATTTGCCACTTATTCTTGTCATACGTTTAACATACATCCACTCAGGGTGCGTTACATGACACTACCCGGTGTGCGGTCAAAAACTGTTTTTCCTATCCCGGCTGGAAACACCTGCCTAGCCCCCAAAGGTTCCTAGCCTATATAGGCTGACCCCCCCATCAATCAGATCCTGACACCCATCATAATGGCTCTTACAACCCCCATACCATTTCTCAATTATTCTTCGTCCTGTAGGTTCCTTATTCGCCTGTTGTGCCTGTCTTCCACTCTCAGGCAGTCAGTGCCATTCAACAGCAGCAGCCACCGCCGCCTGTGCAGCCTGCAGCTTCACCTGTTGCCCTGGAGACCCACCCATTGAACTTAGTGTCTCCCGTGCCTCCCACTGACCCCCTGGTCAGGAAGCAGGTGGTGCAGGACTTAATGGCACAGATGCAGGGAATGTACAACTTCATGCAGGTTAGAACTTTATGCTGTTATAACGACCGTTTACTGTAGATATGGAGCACGTTGCTCATTAAGTCTCTTCTCTCAGGACTCTATGCTGGAATTTGACGGACCCTTTGACCCAGTTATTGTCTCAGTACAGCCTATGAAACCTGCTCAGAACATGGACATACCACAGATCGTGTGTCCTCCAGGTGAGAGAAACTTAGTTCTGATGTCTTGTATTGTGTAAGCATCATACTAAATAGCTTAAAAGGACTTTTCTGGTTTACCAAGTTGCAATAATAATCTTAGCTCACCCAGAGTCCCGGCTATCTCAACCCAAAACTGTTCCTGTCCAACCTGACACCACGCAAGTAAGAATTCAATCTGAAATGGACAACACTGATTGTGAGGCCACAAGATATTTTGAGAGAGAATGTTTAATTTTCACTCTGTTTGCAGGTTTCCATCGTCTCCCCGACTCCGCTCCCCATGTATCAGACTTCACACAGCCCCGATCCTCGACCCTCGACAGAAACCATCGACCCCATCCAGGTAAACATTCTGTTCTGTGAAAGACTCTTTGTGTGAAAAAGTTATTCCGTGTTAAATATTTGATTCAGCCTCTAATGTACACAACTTCTGCGAGTATTTAGTTGATGGTTTCTGAATGATTTGAATAGACAGGGAAAATACAAAGGAAATGACCGCAGTTATTAGCATGCATCTTTTTTTCATCTCATCTTTTGATCCTGCTGTAAGAAACGGAATTGAATACTCTTAAATATGAAATTAAATTGAGAAATGTTTTAACTTGTTGCGCTTGTTTCCCATCTTTGACAGACGTCCTCGTCGTCGGAGCAGCCTCCACCCTTTGCAGCTCACCCACCTGTCTCTCAAACTCAAGTTTTTCAGCCTGTTTCCAAAGCTCCACACAGCAGTGGCATTAATGTCAACGCCGCACCATTCCAGTCAATGCAGACAGTACGGGAAATTGAAACACTGAAATATTGCCCATTCTATCAAATAGTATTCATATTAAAAGCATTTCATGTTACTGTGAAGATTTGGCCCGTCATGCAGTTAAACAAGGGCTCTGAAGGACTTTTTTGTACCTTTCTTTGGAATTCAAATGACTGACTTGTATTAGAAATTGCTTATTGAGTCATTCAGTGCCCTCTCATCAGATTGCAGTTGTACGGTTTTGTAGTGAAATAATGGAAATAATGAGTAACCGACTTAACTCCAAATGAGCCTTTGTCCTTTCCACTGGTTTTGGCCTGAACATTGTCGCTCTTGTTCTCCTCTCAGGTGTTCAACCTCAATGCCCCGGTCCCACCAGCTAATGAGACGGAGGCTCTGAACCAGGCCAGCCAATACCAGAACAGCTACAACCAAGCCTTCAGCAGCCAGCCGCAGCATCCTGTGGAGCAGACCGAGATGCAGCCAGAGCCACTGCAATCTGGTGTGCTGACTTTTAGTTTCCTTCATCATGTATTTGCTTGATTTAAGTGCCAGACTTCCCTTACGGACTTCTATGTGAATGCTGTGGTTTGACTGACTGAAGACACTGAAAAAACAATTCTGTTTGTTTGTTTTTAGTAGTTCGTGCCTTCAATTCCCAAGACCAGTTGGGAGGCCATCAACAGCCTCCACAGCAGGGCCCAGGCTTTGCCCGGCAGGGTCAGTCCTTCTACAACAGCAGAGGCATGTCTCGAGGTGGGCCTCGCAATGCCAGGGGCATGATCAATGGCTACAGAGGCTCATCCAATGGCTTCAGAGGTAAGCTGAAACCAATTGGTAACCTGTGGTGCTAAAAAAAATTAAGGCACCTTGAAAATTCCAAGAGCTGGTGTTCCTGAAATGACTGATTAGACTAATCTCACATGAGAATCTTTTCACCGTTTTAAATGGTTCATCATCTGTTATTGGCTTGGATTTAATGATACATTTGACAGTTCTGTTATAAAAGGAACATGGAGATAATTGAATTCATCTCTATGTACTCAACCTCATGTTGCTGCTGCTTCTGTTGTCTTTAAGTCAAATTTTAAATCAAGTAGTAGATTCACCTTGGCTCTGTGGGTTTTTGTTGAGGTGATAATCCGCTCGGCCGTGTTAGATTGCAGTGACGTACAATAAAGTGACACCTGCATACACCTGTAAAATTGTATGCATGGCTGAAAAGGGATAAGGACTCAGAATTTATTTTATTGTTTATCTCAACAGCAGCATTTTAAGTTTAAACTCTTCTTTCATTAGGTGGCTACGATGGTTATCGTCCTCCTTTCACCAACACTCCTAACTCCGGTTATGGACAGACGCAATTCAACACACCTCGGGATTACTCAAACGGGAATTATCAGAGGGTATGGAAGAGTCTTTCAGGCTTCACACTGGATGCGGTAATGTCATCTTTGCTGTCTCGAGTGGTTTCTAAAATGTCTCTTTCCTTTTCCTCTGTTGCTCTAGGATGGTTACCAACCAAACTACAAGCGGGGAGCTGGCCAGGGACCCAGGGGAGTGTCGAGAGGCAGCACTCAGGCAATACGATCCTGAAAAGGTCACTCTTTTTCTTTTGTTCTTCGGCAGTGTTTTTTTTCCTCTCAGATCAAAATAATGCCTGCTTTGATATTTGGAAATATTAAATCACAACCACAAACGAAGTTGTAAATTAAATCATCAATTTACATAGACAATGTGTTAATATTCCTGTAAACTAAACTTGTAAGATTTCATAAGTTATTTTTTGTATAAAAAATGCACCTGCCAGTGCTGGTCCAACCCTTGGGAGTTTATTCCCCTTCTCTGTCATTTTGGTTTTAAAAACAGAAAGCGTTTTATGTTCAATGAGCTCCCATTTCCTTGTTTGAAAATTGATGTTGCTTCAAGAGTTTCAATAAAGTTGTGTTGCATACTCAAGCTTCAGTTTTACTCCCTGGGAAAGCCATAACTCTTATTTGACGTACTCTGAAAATATGTCAAATAAGTTCTGTGAATGTAATGTAATATGAAGGTTCTTTTCCAATGATAACTTTGTTCTCTCGCTCTTTTTTTATGCATTTTATTACAGCCGCATTCAGCTTGTATCACTTTGGAAAAAGGGTTCCACTGTTTTTTTAACTGCGACAAAAGTTGTATTGGTTTTGACCCTGTACTTAAATGTAATTCCGTGTATTAACAAATTACTGGCCAACTGCTTTGGAACGAAACGGCATTATTGTCTACTCTGTGTTCGGCCGCGGGATTATGGCTTCTTGTAACCATCATCCTGCAATTTCCCTCCCGCGTTGGAGTTGCCAGTCATAAAAGAAAATGCCAGAAAACGAGGAATGCACATATACCTTTCAGGAATCCTAATAAAAAGTTTCCAAATTGTTCTCTTTGACTACACAATTTAGTCCAAACTCACGTGGCTAAATGGCCTGTTATCAAACTAATGAAAGCCACAAACTTGACTTTGATTTGAACATTTCGTTTCATATTCAGGAATCAGGAATCAGGAAACATTTATTGGCCAAAATATGTCAAACATACAAGGAATTTGTCTTGGCGGTTAGTGCGCGACAGTAGACAGACAAGACAACAGTGCACAGGTAATAAAATAAAGTGGAATGAAATGCTAATGCAATGGGTTAGTAAGAATAAGGCTAAGGCTATGGGTTAGTAAAAAAACAAGGGAATAAAGTTAAACAAATTTTAAATATTAAAAAGTTAAAAAGAAAAGTATTAAGCATAAAGTGCACTAACAAACAAGTAACAGACAAGAGACAAAGTGACAAGTGACAAAGTGATGAATTGCAGTTAAAGTGGCATGTGCAGTGTGAGGGGGAGTGACCGGTGGAGTGTTATAGTCAGGCAGTGGGGGACCGGGCTCTGTTGATGAGCCCGACTGCCGACGGGAAGAAACTATTCGTGTGGCGGGAGGTCGTAGTCCTGATGGACCTCAGCCTCCTGCCAGATGGAAGGGGCACAAACAGTTTATGTCCAGGGTGGGAGGGGTCGGCCGCGATCTTTTTAGCTCGCTTCAGAGACCTGGAAGCGAACAAGTCCTCCAGGGACGGCAGATTGCAGCCGATCACCCTCTCTGCAGAGCGGATGACACGCTGAAGCCTGCCCTTGTCCTTGGCTGTGGCTGCAGCGTACCAGACGGTGATGGAGGAGCAGAGGATGGACTCGATGATGGCCGTGTAGAAGTGGACCATCATCGTCTTTGGCAGGTTGAGTTTCTTCAGCTGCCTCAGGAAGAACAACCTCTGCTGAGCCTTCTTGGTGATGGAGCTGATGTTCAGCTCCCACTTGAGGTCCTGGGTGATGATGGAGCCCAGGAAACGGAAGGAATCCACAATAGTGACGGGGGAGTCACACAGGGTGATGGGGGAGGTTGGGGCTCTGTTCCGCCGGAAATCCACAACCATCTCCACTGTCTTTAGAGCGTTGAGCTCCAGGTTGTTCTGGCTGCACCACGACACCAGATGGTCAGACTCCCACCTGTAGGCGGACTCGTCCCCACCAGAGATTAGTCCAATGAGGGTGGTGTCATCCGCAAACTTCAGGAGCTTGACGGACTGGTGGCTGGAGGTGCAGCTGTTGGTGTACAGGGAGAAGAGCAGAGGGGAAAGAACGCAGCCTTGGGGGGAACCGGTGCTGATGGTCCGAGAGGCTGAGACATGTTTCCCCAGCTTCACGTGCTGCTTCCTGTCAGACAGGAAGTCTGTGATCCACTTGCAGGTGGAGTCGGGCACGTGCAGCTGGGAGAGTTTGTCCTGCAGCAGAGACGGGATGATGGTGTTGAAAGCAGAGCTGAAGTCCACAAACAGGATCCTGGCGTAGGTTCCTGGGGAGTCCAGATGCTGGAGGATGTAGTGGAGGGCCATGTTGACAGCATCGTCCACAGACCTGTTGGGTCTGTAGGCGAACTGCAGGGGGTCCAGGAGGGGGTCGGTGAGGGACTTCAGGTGGGACAGGACTAGCCGTTCAAAAGACTTCATGACTACAGAGGTCAGGGCGACGGGCCTGTAGTCATTGAGTCCTGTGATCCTGGGCTTCTTGGGGACAGGGATGATGGTGGAGGCCTTGAAGCAGGCTGGTACGTGGCATGTCTCCAGGGAGGTGTTGAAGATGTCAGTGAACACCGGAGACAGCTGGTCAGCACAATGCTTCAGGGAGTGAGGGGAGACGGAGTCCGGACCGGCTGCCTTACGGGGATTTAGTCTTCTAAAGAGCCGGTTAACGTCTCTCTCCAGAATAGAGAGGGTTGTTTGCTGGTGGGGGAGGGGAAGGTGATAATGATGAAGAGGCGTGAGCACCTGATGGGCTGGGGGAGGGAGGGGAGGGGGACTGCAGCAGGTTGGTGGAGCTGTGGGGGATGGGATCAGGACATTGTCTTCAGACACAATTATCTCAAAATTGACATAATCGATCAACCAAGTATGAAGATAGCTGACGTTTAATTCTAATCGATTCAGTCGACAAGGGCACCTGGCAGACTGTACTCGGGGATCAACAGGCTTCCGCGTCTGAAGCAGTAGCGTGGATATGACGTTGCACCAGGGGTCCTCCATGAAAGTTTCCACGTGAGTATCAAAGCATAATGCATTGCATGTAAAAATCAACGTTTGAATTTGGTGAAGATTGAACAACAGCTATTCTGTGTGACAAGTCAAAGTAGCTTTATTGTCAATTTCCTGCATGTCAGACATACAAGGAATCGATAAAAACGTTTCCCACTCTCCCACGGTGAAACATATAAAGTGCACAGGCACAACAACAGATAAGACAAGACATTTAGATACATATAGATATTTAAAAAAAACATACAGATACACGTACAGCAGCAGCAGCATAAGTGACGGGAGAGAATTTAGCTTTCTGACAGCTTGGTGTATGAAGCTATCTCTGAGTCTGGTGGTGCGGCAACGGAGGCTCCTATACCTTCTTCCAGAGGGTAGGAGGCTGAACAGACTGTGTGCGGGGTGGCTGGTGTCACTCGCAATCGAGGTAGCTTTCCGGGTGAGGCGGGTGGTGTATATGTCTTTCAAGGAAGGGAGTGGGAGTGGGGCACCAATGATCTTACCAGCTGTGTTCACTATGCGTTGGAGTGCTTTCCTGCTGTGTTCAGTATAGCTACTGCCCCACACAATGATGCAGCTGGACACGATGCTTTCAATGGTGCCCTGGTAAAATGTCTTCAGGATTGGTATGGGAGCTTTCACTCGCTTGAGCTTGCGGAGGAAGTAGAGGCGCCGCTGAGCTTTCTTCGCCAGTGATGCAGAGTTGGTGGCCCAGGAGAGGTTGTAATGGGAAAATGATATGTGACCCTTTTAAATGCTTCATTTGTATAACCAGTTTATTAGTTGCAAGTGCTTAGGTCACAAAGGCCCTGACATAAGAACTGATGTCTCCCACTTGGATTAGATGTTTCCAGCGTCATAGCTGTAGAGATTGAACAAAGTGTTTGTTATGTCTATGACCACCTTTGTTTTAGCATGTTGGGAGAGCAGGATACGGTCAAAGAGCTGACGTGTCTTACATGGATAAGATGTTCCCAGTGACCTGGCTGTAGATACTCAACAAGATGGTTAACGGTTTCTGTTGACGCCACCGATATCTAAACTTAGGTATAAGAACTGCCTCGAGGTGTTGGGAAGAAAAAGGAGGTTCTTGACAGTCTACTGACCACGTAGCTGTTGTGACCCTTTTTCCCTTGCAAGGAAATAAACGGAGAAAAGACATACTTGACTCAGAGCCTTTGATTCTTACTTAACGATTGTCTGTGCAAAATCTTCCACCACAATTTGGTGTCAGAAGTGGGATCGTTTGAAGCTCCGTCGGGACTCCGAGGACGTCCGGGAAGTGGCCACTTCAGGATCCACCAAAACGTGATTCTGCCCTATACCTCATCACACTCAGAGAGAGGGGACCGGCGACCAAAAGAGACCTGATTGGCTTCAACACGATCCGATGAGGAAGATTTTCACACGGGAATCGGGTGAGAAGTTGATAGTCTGATTTTCAAACGGGGCTTCCTGAATTATAACGGGTGATAACAGGTTACAAAGACGGGTATTTAGTACTTTGGGATTTTTTTTTTTTTTTTTTATTATTTTTTCTCTCTCTTCTTAGAAAATCCAAATTGGGCTTCTAATGATGATAACTTGTCTTTTTATCCGGTTATTTGAAAAATGTGTATAAAATTAAAAGAGTGATTATACAGTATTTCCGGTTCATCAGCATCCAACTTTTTACTGAGGAAGACAGGGAGCAATGTGCGCATTTACGATTGTATTCAGACTAACACTCTGAAAACGCATAATTGTGACCCTTGACCAAAGGGGAAGACAGGGGCAATGGACAATTGTGACTCACTGATGTGCACCCCCAGGAATCTGGTGCTGCTCACTCGCTCCACAGCAGCACCATTGATGGTCAGTGGTGAGTGTGGCTTTCTGTCAGCGGCCGAGGTTCTTCTTAAAAACTAAAAGTGTGTTGCCAACAACACCACCTAGGTAAAAGCCCTAGGACAGGGATATTCAACTCAACTCATTTTAAAATAAAATAAATGCAAAATGAAAATGGTGCATGTAATAATAAATAATAATAATCAAATAATGTGCTTAACTTCAGAAAAAATAAATAAAGGGAGGAAAAGCTTAAATGTCCCCGTTTCTGTTTCAGTCCCAAACGATTTTACAGATAATAAATCTTAACACATCTTAACAATTTAACAGTTTTAGAGCATTAGTCTTGCATCCCACTTCCCCACTTTGTTGGTCAGTGGGAGAATTGAGCTCTAGCTTGTGCTGCCAGGACTTTAAACCTGGGCTTGAATGGAGTCAGGGCCATCCGCATGCACATGTGGAGGTGCTCATTGGTGAGCCTCGAACGATATTTATTTTTGATGATATTCATCGTGGAGAAAG